AAGACCGGTTTTGGTGCGGTCTCATTGTCCATCTAATGGGTGCCCTGATGTCTCTTCCTCGGAGGTAGAAGAATCATGGATCTACACCACCACTGCGTCATACGTCTTCATGGCATGATGCTTAATAAGTATCAGTGAATTTTTTACTAGTAAAATAAAGGTTTCTCACACGTACCGTAAAGTACGAGTTTATATACAGAATAATGATGGTGTAACCAAAAAGTCTTCTGTGGAGACGTCATCGACTTATTAAAAATCAGCGATGATTGTGTAACCATTATATTTGGGATGGAAGAAATGTTGCGGAATAATTTAGGAATTAGGATTTTGGCGATACGGGCCCAAATATTACAGTTCGTGTAAAGGAAATAGTACAGACTTAAAAATAATTATGGCCACTGTGACATTTTATCCACATTTCTGGTATGGATGAAACGGGAGTACAAAAATTAGTTGTATTGGTTTCAATTTTATTCACATCTAAAAGCTTAGAAGTTGCAAAAATGCTCCTATTAGATTTGCCATGCCTACCTGTCCGTCTGTAACAACTTGGAAATCACTGAAAGATTTTTCACGAAAATCTGCATTTTCTGCTTATTTTGTTTTTCCTTTCTGTGTTTCCCGATTCTTGTAATGGCCGATTACCGTGGAAGCGATGTCAACATGCAAATACTACGGACGGTAATTGTCGTATGCGCTGAGGTTTATGACAGCGCAGGGCTTGACAGTGCAGCCGCGTTATCTTCCTTCTTTCAAGTGACAAATTGTTGTCAGGGGAAGCAATTAAGCGCCCAGTGTCTGACCTCACGACGCAGGTCATGCAGACAGACCTCTTTATACCACGATCTGGGGGGGGGGGAGGTGATGTGGAAAACAAACTCGGTTTTAATCGCTAGATGAATATTGCCAGCCTTGTAATTATGCTGTATTTTGGAAACCAAATCACCATACTTATTCTAGTACTTTATCATTTCATTGTCATCATCATCAAACTAGTAAGAATGCCCACAGAGTTCACATATCGTGAGGTAAGACCCCGAAGATGGAATAAACAAAGTCTTTTCTCGACTCTAACACAGATTCATCATTGTTTTTGTTTACTTTTCTTCAGAGTACAACATTATGGAACTAATAATGTTGTGCAGGTCTCCTTAAAGATCATAATTTCTGAGCTGGTCGAGAAATTTTGTCTCTTATAGAACAGATGGTTCATCACCATGGTAAGATTTAAGGTTTTCGCTGCTGTGAACATGAAGGTGATTGATTGTCTTATGGGATGTTGCCCCATGTATTCTGGTAGAAGGTTACTGACGTTTCAGAGGTGCTTGCTGCCTCTATCATCAGGGTAATTATTGCTCCGGTGATGGCAGCAAGCACCTCTGAAACGTCCGTTAATTTCTAAGTGACTATATGGCGTAACATCTCAAAGGCATGTCTCAAATGCTCTCAGTCTGCGTTATTACCTAGGAAGATGAAGTTTTCTATAATCCAAAAGTTCGTCGTATTATTTGAAAATGTCCCAAAGCTTCGTACATGTGCAGATTGCAAATGGATGGCAATAACTGCCCTAGCAATCGTAGACAACTGACATTGGGGTTTGTTCTAGTTTAAGTGTGCACTATATAAATAAATGCTGGGCTTAGAAGTTTAATTCAGTGTTTAATATGCACGCTGCTGCTAACACCCAATATTTCTCTCGGCTCGTTAACGTGCGCTCGTGTTCATCAAACAAGAACGGCTTTATATACTGTAATAGTTCACACTTTCCAAATTCCGGGCTCTTGTGAAAACGATAACAAACTTCGAGTTCCATAAAAGACGGTGAATTTGTTGGGCCTGAAAGCCTGTTCTCACGAAAGTCTAGTTTGAAGCCGGATTGTTATGCATTAATCGGCTCTTAAATATCGTTAGCTGCCGGATGACTTAATTAGGCATTTTTTATTCTGTGTGTGTGATATTACACTATAAAAATTTAATCTATAAATATAAGCACATGTGAGCTGTCATTCGATGTTTAACACTTGAGCAGTTTGTAAATAATGAATTATTTAATTTTTCTGACCTCTATACGTTACCGCTCCGACAGTAGGCCTGTATGTATGTTGATTTTGAGTAAGCTGTACCGTACATGTATATTTAAACATGACTGTACTGGTATAATCCTCATTGTTGGCTTACGGAGTGATGTAATGTGTTACATTTATGTATGAAGAGGTGAGTTTTAAAAGGATAGGAGATACGAAACAGCCCTTATGTCAAGATTATTCAATAGGGGGAGCGTAGTGATTGAGAAGAACCATATTTCCATGTGAACAATGGTTTAAACCCTGCTATTTTAAAGGACAGCCCATTGTTGTCCATTTTAACAGGGCTGGAAATGTTTAAATAGTACCGGAATACACACATGTATTTTTTGCAAATTTTGAATTACATATTAACTAAACGTTACGTTAATCATCTTGCATAGGTAACTTACAGTTTCGTGTTACTTAAGTAATCTGAATCAATACGTCACGAGGCGCGTTACGTCTCTGGACTCTTAACAATAGAATCCTCTTAACTTTTGACGTAAATACGTCTATATGGAAGGGTCATTTCGCAAAAAAGTGTTACGAAAAAGTGACAGGAAAATGTGTAAGATCTGTATCAACAAATCGACAACAATGTGTAAATATGAACTGAAAACAATGGTCAGCTTGCGTGCATTGTTATGTTACCTAGGAAACGTCATCTATTTACTCGGCATTGTTGTGTTACATTACTGCCGTCAACACCGCTTTCGTAACAAGATGGATGACATTGAAGATAGCATTACATTACATTACATTACAGAGATGTAAATATAATTTAAATACAGAGACGTATTTACGTCAAATTCTCCGGAACAGTGGTTCCAAGGTAACGTTTCTTTCCTTTATATATCTTCCACGTTGATATTTTATATTATGCAAAGAATTACTGTATGAAAATTTAGTGATTTCCTAATATTTCTAACCACACGTCACTGTATTTTCCTATTGCCAGTGGCACTAGTGTCGATCCCACCTCAGAAGTTTCTTCGTCCGCCATGTTGGTATTACTGATTGTAGGAAACATAAAAGTAAGATTTTTTGGTTTTCCCAATGACATAACGTCCATACCAAATTGTACTCAAATTTGTCAAGCGGTTCTTGAATTAAATTGTGCGGACAGACATACACATGACGAGTCCTGTATGCGTTCATTCATGCACACACAAAAGCGGACATTGTTATCATTTACGGAGGTTCAAATAAAGCGAAAGGAAGCTGCCAGTTTGGATGCGTCATATGAAACGTATCTTTGGTTGCTACGGTGATAATGTCTGCCTGCGATTGGTCGACAGACGATTGATTGATGAATATATATTGCAAGAGTCGAAGACATATTAATAGTGAATATTGGTAGTTACAGGGATAATAGTAAAGGTTGTGACAACCGACGGAGTGACCAAAGCAAAAGGGATGTCGTAAAACTAATTTACATAACATATAGTCTCAACTACTGATAGCGTCGTTAAATAAATCATATACACATTATTAGGACGGTTAAACCAAGGAGGATGAAATAGATGGGGCATATAGCACACATGGGGATATGAGAGATAGGCAAGAGACACGTTGGGAGACCTCAGCGTAGATGTCAGATTAAAAAAAAAGTATGTAATGAAGAGGGTATGAAGGGGTGGAATTTATATCTTAGAGAACGACTACTCACCTTCAGCTTTTAGCATTTTCATGAAAGTATTTTTAGTAAATTAATTTACAAAACAATAATTTTGCATGTTGTTTTGTATGGGTGCGAAACATGGTCTCTCACTCAGAGGAAGGAACACAGATTGCAGGTGTTTGAAAATAGGGTGTTGAGAAGGATATTTGGGCCTAAGAGAGAAGACGATGGGGCATGGAGAAAACTGCATAATGATGAGCTTAAAAATTTGTACTCCTCCCCCAATTTTGTCAGGGTGATTAAGTCGAGAAGAATGAGATGGGCGGGGGATGTAGCACGCATTGACGGGACAAGAGGTCTGCACCGGGTATTGGATGGGAAACCTGGAGGGAAGAGACCGCTGGGGAGACCTAGACGTAGATGGGAGGATAATCTCAGGCGGGATCTATGGGAGATAGGAGTTGAAGGAGACTGGATTTTGTTGGCCCAGGACAGGGTCCGGTGGAGGGCTTTGGTTAATTCGGTGATGAACCTTCGGGTTCGGTAAGCCATCTAGTTAGTTAGTAATGACACAACATTAAAAAATCATAGTGAAATTAATTTCTACAAAGGACGGTAATAAATATGTTTTCAGTCGATGTTTTCAGCATGCTAGTACAACGAAGCATAACGATTTTCACTCGCAGTGCTTCATTTCGTAGAATATACAAACTGCAATGCATCTGCTTGCACATGCATCTATTTTCAGGGCGGGATTGAACCCCAGATCCCAGTGTTCTACTGGTCGAACACCACGCGGGCGTCCACTTTGCTTATCCTCCATGATACTAAAGGAAATAGGATCTTGTCTCGCCTCGAACCACTACGTTCGCTGAAGAAGATGGATGTCAGCTTAGCTTGTGCTGGACTATGGACCGTATAAAATAACCGGCTTTACATATTAAGCACACAGTGTGAAGCCAAATCTCGGTGCCAGCGTCTACTTGCGTCCTCTTTTCTTAGCTCCCTCTGCTTGGGATTCATTACAATAATCCCTAAGATCTTGGAAGCCTCACTTAGCTTTTCAGCACTGCAACAGCTGTTCAGTATGATTTACGAGTCGATTCAAATTCTCTGCCAAACAGAGCATTAACTTCCTACATATCAAAGACAAGCATTTCAACCTTTTGGTTTCGGTTTTAGTACCACACAAAGGTACTTGCCTCTTCTAAACTACGTTTATTTGTTAGGTACTTCAAATAGGAAAACAGGTGACTGGAGTTTGACTTCCGTTCGACAGCGAGGGTCTTCGCTTAGGTGGGAAAACAGGTGACTGGAGTTTGACTCCCGTTCGACAGCGAGGGTCTTCGCTTAGCCACATCGTGCATACGGACCCTGGGATCGATACAGTCTCCAATAGGTATCAGGGTCTCTTTATTTTGGATTTAGCAATCGGAGCCTGAAGCTAACCATTACCATCGAATAATTTATGCATTTATAATTGACTTGTTTTTTTAAAAAATTACTCTGAAGTTTTTAATTAATCTCTTTCATTACAAAAGCATGGTCCCTAACCATATTAGTACCGTTCTCATTGATGATTTAATTTTTTTCTTAATCTTCTTCTTTTTCTTCTTCATCATCTTCATCTTCTTCCTTTTAGGAGAGGTGTCTGATGGTGGTGATGGATCCTGAAGTTCGTACAAAATTGAAAATATGTCTTCAAGAGATAAGTTAGGAAATTCAGCGTGGATTCGTTCCGAAAATTGTTTAACTTCTTCATCTTCTTCTTCGTCGTCGTCTTCTTCTTCCTCTCCTTCGTCTTCATCTTCTTCTTCTGGAAAATTATCTTGGAATCTGTAAGCCATTTATAATTAAAAGGATGATTTGCTATTATGAAAGAATGAAAATAAAATACCAACAATTTCTATATTGTTACCAGTTCATTCCTCCGAGAACCGAAAAATAGTTATAAAAACGATAGAGAAATTCAAAGGTTCTTCTAAAATTAAGTTAAAAAATTGAAGTTAAAAATATATTTCAGAAATTTGCCTTCAAAAAATATTATTGTAGAAAATGGAGAAATCAGTGATATGATTGGTTTACTATAAAAAATAATCAAGACTAAAAAAATCTAAAAACTATGGATCCATGGTTCAAGCTAAAGTATGGAACAATTGAAATTAATGCTTAAATTCAATGCTTGGGGAATAATCGGCTGACTGAAAGTACTGGTGTCAACACGGGTCTTTGTGCCCCTTAACATACTTAAGGTAAAATGCCCTCGGACATCCTCGATTGTAATATTCGTAAGGTTACTTCATTTTGCTGGTCAATATCTCAAGAAGGAAACTTCTCATGGTTGAGAACCGACTTTTGCAGATTGGGCAGTTTATGAGATTTTGCCTGCAGGTGTTGCATACACTGTGGCCGTTCTCACACAACGGAATGGGAGGCGTAATGCACTCCATACAGACTGGACACTCCAGTTCCCTCAAAAGATCCTTCAAGCGTGTCTCCATATCTGGAGTTTGGTGCTCAAACCTTGAAAAATGAAAGAAAGTTATTGTAGATGCATATAACACAGTGACACTGTTTTGAATGTGATTAGAAATACACTTTTCTAAACAGAGGCTTTAGTGCCTAATATGAAATGCTGATCTCGTTAAACAAAAAAAAGTTTAGAACAGTTACTTTTGAGTGTATGAAGGAAGGATGACGTCAAAGGTATGATTAGTTTTGTGTCTGCAATAATAGATTTCTTTCTTCGTCAAATGGTTATCAACGTCGAAATCACATAAATGTATTTCAAAAATATCTGTACCCCATTTTAATAAGAATAATTTTTATTTCGCTTAGTGTTAGAAAGTAACGAATTGTGAACTACCACCATCTGATTCAGCAACTTTTAAAATCAGCATATTTGTCTGATGGCAAAAATTCTACCCTGAGAATGTAGGTTTTAATTACTAGAATATCTTTAAAGTATGGTAGTCCTATATCTTAACCCTATGAAACATGGACTTTATCTAAATAATACACATCTTAAGGGCAAGAATGAATACTCATTTACTGAACGATTTGTATTTAAATTTTATTGTTTGTTTGTCATCAGTCTTCCGATTGGTTTGATGTGGTCCTCCAGTTTCGCCTATCTTGCGCCAATCTCTTCATTTCCACATATTTTTTTCAGCCCACGTCCTCAAAATCTGCGTCACATATTCCAATCTTTGTCTCCCCTTACAATTTTTCCCTTCAACTGTTCCTTCCATTACCAAATTAACCAATCCTGGGTGCCTCAGAATGTGTCCCGCCATCGTAAGATTTTTCCATAGACTTCTTCCTGATTAAGGTCGCCGCAGAGCCCCCATAAAGTCCAAGTCTCTTTTTGATGGGAAAAATCGTTCACACAATCATCGTCGGAAACTGATCGCAGTTATTTATATTTAATTATTGTTTATTTGATATTGTAATTGCGTCATATTGTGATTCGTGTATTTTTATTTGTAAGTAACTGAAATATGAGCTTAGTTTATTGTTAATGATAAGGGCCAACATATTTTTATTGTCCCCACAACTGTAAATCCTGCCTTGCCCTGAATGGCACGTCTCCGTGGGTAAATTCGACCAAGTATGTGCCAGAATACACGAAGTGGTCATTAATATTATCTTAAAACTCTCTATAACATGTACAAGAAGGATTGAAACAAAATACAAACGTACGAAAATTCTTGCTGGGTTGTTCGTGTGCCTTTCTCTTTCTCGAAACGTTCATGCTTTAACTTTTCTCTCGATTTCTTCTCTTTTCTGAGTAATAATAATAATAATAATAATTTAATTACGAGGACACTCTTACAGAATTTGCCAGTAACTAATGCAGCGACTGAAAGCGTGCACCAACATAATAAAACTGTCACTAAGCAAATGCCTGTTTGTTATAAATGTTTGTTTACATTAGCAACAATTGCCCCATAGAGCTTCATAAACATTTCCGTTAATCCATATACATTTTTGTTTATGCCGAGATTTGTAATTTTTGAAGCAGGCTGCTGCAGTCGGCAATTAATTAAACTATCACCACTTTCAGGGGTGTGACATTTTTTTTCATTTCAGTAACACACACGACGTCTGTTTATAAATTGCTTATAAAATGTTATAATTCGTAGCGGATTTATCCGTTTCAATTCCACTTCATTAGACGTGTGGTCTAGCGGTTAGAACGCTGGCCTTGTAATCCTGGGGTCTCGGGTTCGATTCCCGGCGGTGCCCGAATTTATAACTTGTGTTGAACAAAGCCGTGGTCTAGGCAACACGGAGTTTTCCTCCGCGGGCTTCCCCGGTTTCTCCGTGGCATCCCAACAATTACTCCATTCACACACAGAGGAAGGCAATGGCAAACCACTTCTGGATCATCTGCCAAGAACGTATATGAACAGGTCCCAGTCCGAGAAAAGGATGGAAGGATCCTGTTCATATGGACTTGTCGTCAGACAGAACACTAAATAAAATATAAATAAGACGTGTTAATCTACAACTGTATGTAGCAGGGTAATTTTTGAGAAGCTGATAGTTACTCATCTAATTAATAAATTCAGCATATTTATGGAACCCAAAGGTTCACAAAAGCCCGTTACTGGTCTGTATCTTAAGTGACATAAATCCAGTTTTTTTGTAATATCCACGATAATATTATCCACCCGTCTATGTCGAGGTCTACCAAGTTATCTCATTATTTGAGGTTTTCCGGGGGCGATTAACGAAAATTAAAAATTAGTTTAGAAAGTTTAAAATAAAGGAATAAATACAACTATGACATTTATTAACGTATTAATAAAAAACATTTGCTGCTCAAACCCGAAGTGTACGAGAATAGAATGCCATTACTGCACGTCGGAATCCTTTATTACAAAAACAGTTGGTATGTACTGTATTAAATTTTATGTAAAATTATCTGTTATTAGTAAACTATATAAAAATTTAAATAGTGCAAGTCTGTAAATAAAGTTATATATGTTACGTTTGCGTGTAATGCTTTGTATTCATGTTACACGTAGTACTCAAGATAGACTCGCGAAATAAAATATTGTTCCCAAATAATTTCAGCTTGTAAGATGAAAACGCGCGTTATGATAGAACTTAATGTGTAAGTTTCTACGACATTCTGTAGGATAAGAAATTTACAACTGAATGGTTTTGCAGTTTTGTTTAATTTGCAGTCCCATTTCGTTTGGAAAAAAAAAACCCTAGAAATCTCCGATATCGAAATAAATAATGAACACAACAACACAGGAAACCTGCAAGCTCTTGGAATCACTGCAGGATTTGAATACATAGAATGCTGTTTGGACAATGTGAAACGAAAAGCAATATCAACTTGCTTTTCGTCTATAGAACAAAATTAAAACAGCACAATACAAGCATATGTCTTCAAAAGCGTGCTACCTTTGTGTCGGGGACTGTGCCATAGTTAAGGCGGTTAGTTGCCGTCTTCTCACCGCAGGGGCGTGGGTTCGTACCCAGGCATGTTATTCCTTCAAAATGGATTTACTGCTAATGAGATTTCAGGTTCTCACGGCAGCGCTTACTGTCTTCTGGGATTTGCGCCGTGCAGTCTGATAGAAATTTACCAACGTTTCACAGCTACTTACTGCTTCCATCATCAGGACGACGAGTGATCGCCCCGATGTTGCAGATAGTACGCATCTGTGAAACGTCCGTCAGTTAATAGGAGATTTTTCAGTGCAAAATGCCAGACGACATTCATATTTAGTTTGTAATTATTCTGAAGTAGCTTATTTTGTTATTAGTGGGGAGGAGGTAAAACTTAATTTATGGTGATTACAGGTCAGTTACAACTCTTACTTTACTTGCAGAGGAAATTGAATTTTATCAAATTAGATATACAGGCTTATAGAAATTATGAATGTAAAGCCTCCAGACAGTGTAGGTAGTTGTAATTTTGTATATTTACCTGTGTAAGCTACATGACAGACATTATTGTGTCTGGTGTCGCTGAAGACATGTTTATGGGAGTGACAGAAAGAGAATTCATTTATATATGTATAAATGTGGCCTCGAAAATCATGTCTTGAAATTTTACAGCTGCTGAAATTTCTTGTTTCACTTCTTGAATTCTCTGTGGGTTGTTTTGCAAACAGCACCTTTACGAAACCCCCATGAGAATAAATAACACGGTTCTCAATCTGAGAGTACACCGGCCATAAGCAGACGTAATCAAAACGCGCAGGAAATCGATTAAGCAGAACACGATTATGAAAATGTTCGTTAAAAATTTCCAGCATTGCACAATTTTCCGAGAAATCTTGGCCATTCTCATCGTAGGCACATTCCGAACCCATTGTATTCTTATACAATTTATGGCATTAAAAATGCTTTGAGACATGTACAAATTATAAAGTTCCTAGGTCCAAATACGTATCTTCCTGGGCACTTTTTTTCAAAAACTTTTAGTTTATGTTCCTTCCCGTTTTAACGAGTATCTTCGGAATGTTGCGCCGTGTCTGGGAGACGTTTACAGACGTTTCAGAGGTGCTTGCTGCCTCCATCATAAGAGCGCACGACACAAGATCTCAGAAGACTGTCATCTTATTACTGAATACAGTGAGAATACGAAATATCACGAGGAAATTTTGGAGACGAGACGATTTGTTTTTTGAACTCAGTAATGCCAAGAATTTCTAAAACTGATTCTTAGATTTTAGAAAAAAATTAATTATTTTTTGTATGACTTCGACTTTCGGAGTTTGACCAAAATGACTGAAATCGTGGCTGTATTAAATTGTGGAATCGAAATTCGAGAAGAGGACTGTTTTTTTTGTTATTTCCAATTAGGCTGCTTTTGTTTTGAAATATTTACGAATGAAACTACCCCTCATATAGTCCAACACAGTGTGCATAAAAAGTGTGGTCGTTACTTTAAAAAGCTGTAGGGGAAGACACTAGTAGTAAAAATGCTAAATAATTATTTTTCCATGTCATAAAGTATTTTTAATTACAACTGACCGAAACTTACAATACTCTAGTAAATATATGTTTGACCTTGAAATTTGGTGTGTTGTTAACAGTGGTAATTTCAGTACTAATAGCAAGTGACATTGTTCTAGGGATGGCACTGGATCGGGTGTTTTGTAGTGCATGTGTTTGGGTGCGAGGGGTAGACGGGGGTAGTAATGGTTGGCGGGGGGAGGAGGAGTTGGTTTATTTTGCTCCGGCTATTATCAGAATGTTGCTAATTCCGTGGTCACCCGTTACTCCTAACCTCAGTCTTCCTTTCATGGGGTAACATGACTGAATCCCGATGCAACAGAAGTTTAAGAGAAATGTGATGGTCTCTTTATCGCGTCCATGGAAACCCTTACAACATAAGCCGCCACAATAAGTTGCTAATAGTTATTCGTTGTTCTCAAGGCTGAATAAGATCTGAGCAAGTGTTATAAGCGGTCTCTTCTTCTGTATGTAAAAATTAATATTTGCTTTAACTATTGCAGGTCTATATTTTGTTAACATTATTTTGCCCTTCGAGAAGTCATGATTATTAATATTGTCTTTGCACATTGCACAATGAGTTTCGTAATTAGAACATTTTATAAATCGGAAAAAAATATTTGTTTACATTATGTACCCCAAATAACCTCCTCCCACAGCTCATGACTGCACCTTTGGAAACATTTATTACAGACATAACAGAGAGAGAGAGAGGGGCGAGAGATAGAGAGAGATTGAAAAACGGTAATATCATTCTTATGGAAATAAAGCTGTAAGGATCAGCTGATCATTAAGTCCTTGAAGATGGCTGACTGCTATTAGGATATTGCGCTGTGTAGTCTGGTAGTTACAAACCGAGGTTTCAGAAAACGAAGACGTAGCTCTGATTATGGAGGTTGTAAGTTCCTCTGAAACGTCGGCCAGTACACGGCACAATGTATCCCAGAAAGTCGTCGCTGTGGAATTTAACCGTCGAGGTTTTTCTTCGTGTTCTGAGCTCCGTGTTGTGCGGTCTCCCTCTGTCATCGACATGAAGACGAGACGCACTGATCCTTCATAATGCGAACTCCTTCTCGCTACGCTTAACCTTGTACCTTTTCCCTGTAGGGATTTTGTAAAATTGCTTATACCTCTAGGTACTGCTGTTTGACATTTCAGGATGGGATTTGTATTTTGTCGCCGATGCAGTCAGGATGATGGCCGACAATGGTGCCTACAATATAATATGGGATTCGTCCGCCTTAGCTTCTTACGCCGTACAGATTTTTTTTTTAGTGTTGTGTCTGACGACAGGTCCATATGAACAGGATCCTTCCATCCTTTTCTCGGACTGGGACCTGTTCATATACGTTCTTGGCAGATGATCCAGAAGTGGTTTGCCATTGCCTTCGTCTGTGTGTGAATGGAGTAATTGTTGCGATGCCACGGAGGAAAACTCCGTGTTGCCGAGACCACGGCCTTGCACAACACAAGTTATAAATTCGGGCACCGCCGGGAATCGAACCCGAGACCCCAGGATAACAAGGATAGCGTTCTGACCGCTAGACCACCGTGGCGGTCGTATTTTGATTTTATTAAAATATATTAAATAATTTCCTACTCCGGGTGATCAGTTTTACAACACTGCAATATTGTTGTCTATTTGTGACGTCTATAGATAGACAACGCACATTTTGCACCACTGAAGTAGTTCTGGTTGTAATGAAACGCGTGACCTTGAGTCCTCTGAAACTGAAAATGTGTTATGTCAGGGAAGTCAGAAGGACAAGGGTAGAAAAATTATATTTGTAATGTAAGGGTTTAGCCTGAATCAGAAATATTCAATTTCGATCCCTGAGGGGGGGGGGGGGATAGCTCCTTCTCATTCTTAACCTCGGCACTAGATAAGGGTTCTGTACTAAGTCAGGTAGAAGAAAGTTAATGCAC